CTAGTCAAGTTGTATTTAAATGTAAGGTATCCTTGGAAATGAGGGCTTCCATGGAATGAACGCCCCTGCTGCTCACCTCTGAGCGCGGCAGAGAAGGAACCAGGCGCTTGCAGTCGTTTCGAAATTGAATTTTTACAGATAAATTAATAATTATATTTATAACAGAAGTAGTTACTACGCGCTTGTTTCCACGATCTTTATTTTAAGACCATTTCTTGATCACACTGTTCAGTCGATTGTTCTCACGGAATGTACCGAAAAATCGTGCTCTCTATTGAGTATATGTATAGAACAATACACATGTTTAGGGAGGGAAGCGACCGAAGTCGGCCGGAAAATAAATAAAGGAGCTGCGGATAAATCGTCGTACATCCAAAGATCTAAGAGTTGCTGATCAGAAAACAGAGAGATGACGCCTTTACTTACCTTGGGAATGTGAATAGCGCATTGGGCGGAAAATGACATTATTAGTAAAATTGGTAAAACAAATTCCGCGTCCCTAAAGTTGTACCCAAGTGGATCAGTGGCAGATTTGGCGCAGGGGGAATGGGGGCCATGCTCCTCTCCAAAGACCCAGAGTTTGTTATCTTCCTTTATTTGGTAAAATTGATTTAAATATTTATGTTAGAATTATGTGATTATTTGAAAAAAAAATCGTTTAATATGTATAATATATACACTACAAAAATAATATACAATATAATTACAAATATGTTTATTATTTAACAAAAATGTATTAATAATAATATTTATCGAGTCACATATACAATTACAATCGTGTATGTAAATTTTAAATATAAATAGTTGAAACATGAGTAAAAGCTAAAGATAAATTAAAAAAAGCGCGAGATTAGCAATGTTGGAAAAAATTCTAGACATTATCGTTCCCGAATTATAGAAAACTTATTTGCAACGGAAAACGAACTGCGCGTTTGATTTTTCTGCATTGCTAACAAAATTGTAACTCGCCCTTACCTCAACTCCTACCACTACAAGCAAAAGGAGAGTTCAACAAAACGTGAGCATCGTGAAGACACATTTACGTCCAGAAGCAAAACAAGGGGCCATCTCAGCATTTGCTCAATGGATCAGGGAAACTGGACAAAAATCTGATCGAGATGGGGAACATTGACCCGGAAGTTGATGTACATTATTTGTTACAAGCATATTAAGTTATATGTACATTCCATTTGAGATTTCACTGAATTGAGAGACCTAGAAATTTTGTTACCTTAACATCAGCTAATTGCATATTGTTCGTTTTCAATGGAGCATGCGATTGTTGATTTGAAATGCAAAAATACATTGAAATCGTAGTATTTATTGTTTATTTTTTGCAAAGAACATTCGTGTCATCGGCAAACAGAACCGTTCTTCCATTTTTAATAGACAAGGGCATATCGTTTACTTATAACAGAAAGAGGATAGGACCTAAGAACGAACCTTGCGGGACCCCACTTTCAATTGGTAAAGAATTGGAAAGATAAGTAAATAATGTTCTTTCGTGCCAGTACGGTATTTCTACTCTTTGAGATCCATGTTTAAGGTACGAGGTTATCCAATCTAGGGTGATACCACGAATTCCATAAGAAGGTAATTTTGATAGCAAGATGATAGTTTTCTAAAATTTTTCCAATGAGTATTTCATTTTGGTCCATTAATGAAGCAATATCTTTAAGAAAAAAAAACGCCAGTTTCCGTAGATTTTAATTTGCTAAAACCGAGTTGTGAGTCTAAAAACACTTCGTTTTTTCTTAGAAAAGTTCCCATTCGCGTATAGGAAAGCCTCTCTAAAATTTTTGAGAAACCTGGTAAAAGAGAAATTGGTCGGTAACTTTGAATTTCATTTTCGTTCCCTTTTGTAAAAAAGTGTCTTAATTTTAGCTGTTTTGAAAATATCTGGAAATATTCCTGTGCATAAAGAAGCATTGAAAATGTGTGTTAATGGGTGTATAAAGGCAGTTACACAAGTTTTCAATAAACAATCCAGAAATTCCCCTAAACAAGATGAATATTTATTTTTTAGTTTACTGGCTATTCTCAAGATTTCGTTAGAAGTTTCGGAAATAAACATCATGTCGAAAAATTTTTTGGGAAGGGAATAATCTTGAATTTTTTCGTTTTAGTCCCTTTGTGGGTTCAGCCATGTAACATTTTAAATAAAACAACGCCCTGACCCCTCAGAAGTATTGCTGCCAATTTTGGGAGCAGTCACTCCAGTGATAATCTTTTTTGTGTCTTCTTCAATATTACATCTTAAAATAATTTCATCTACAACTCTTTCAAATAGTACTTTTCTGATAATTTTGAGTTATATGAATCTGACATTTTTCAATAATTAGAAAACAAGATTTTTTTAACAATGACTCCATTTTTTCATCGTCTTTACATTTTTGGTATGAATAGAACACAATATACTAAAGAACATGACAAAAGGGCCATTTTAATTTAAAAAAATTACAGTTTTTTTTTATTTCATATGTTGACAATATTTACATTTTAGTTGCATATAATCAATGCATTTGTGATCACCTCTCCTTTATATGATTTTGATGTAGTTTCTCCCAAAGCTTTTGAGAGTAATTTAACTCAAAATCATTCATTTTCAGAAATGTACAAACCATATGTTCTGAAAAAATCTAAATTTTTCCTGAAAATGTCACAAAAAAAGGTTTTGCTATTCTATAATTTTCTGAAAATTTCACTTAAGTTCAACTATTAGGAGGCCAATCAAAATTGAGAAAATGTGGAAAAAATATGTTTTTTAATATACACAATAGCTTCAAGTGGAGAAATAAATATTACAGGAAAAAAGTTTAACTTTTGTGTTAATTGGCCACTGTAAATATTGTATTGACAAGTAAAGTGTAAAATTTTTTAATGCTAAAGAAACTTGCATACATAGTTGCTACTGCAACGAATACTGTTGCGCACAACAAATACTGATGTCGTTGACTAGTATATTCAATGAAGCTAAGCGCATTACTGGCCTTGAATGTAACAAGAAGTCAATTTGCTTTGTAAAGAGGGTTTTAGAAGATACTAGAAGAACATGGTGCACTGAGATCCAATCATTTGAAGAAGAAGAAATGAACTTAAATTTGTACATGGTAGCTGAAATTCGATTGAAGAACTTTTAATACACTAGCCTATATAATTAGCAATTCAATTATTATCATTTTACAAAACCATTACAAATTGTATGAGAAATACCACTAGTTGGGATTTGATGCTTCAGGCCTTTTCCATTACATCATTCTAGAGAATTCATTTTGATAATAAAATACAAGCATACTTCACAAGTATTAAATTTTGTTGTTGAATGATGATGTAATAATGGTGAGTTCAATCCCAAGAAATACTGATTTCCATTTTTCTTGTAATTATGTGATTCCTTTACACAAAATGTACTTTTTGAATTGCAACTTGCCTCTTCAGTTTTGTATGATGGAATTGAAATACCTAATAAATGATAATCAAAAACTGCATTCAGAATTTCATTACAGCTTTTAAACATATTCTTCAAACAAAATTTATTCTCCCATTTTTGCAGAAAAAGTTTAATTTGTAGTTAATTTGAGAACAATGAAAACTATGTTTATAAAATTTGAAATAATTAACTTCATATTACACATTTTGTAAATTGTTGCAAGCTACACTCAGCTCACGCTGCGATACAATTTCATTAGTTTTAATGATTGTCCGAAAATATTTTTCCTTGAAAGTTTCAGGGCTAGTTAAACTTAATAGCTACTGAGTAATGTTAGGGGGGGGGGGAATTCCCTCATTTCCCTCTCTGTGAGATTAGTGCTGGCTGTTTTCAGTTTTTAAGTGAATAAAAGTCAAATAACATGATATGTCACATATCTTTATTGTGGCTCATAAGTTTTGCTCTCTTGTTTTGTGAACAACTTGAAAAAGTAAAATATGATGAAATTTTCCTTTTAATTTGAATGTCTTCCAAACCAATAACAATATGTGTTTCATTTCAGAATTTTGTGAAGTCATGTGCGACTTACTTAACATGGTGAGAGAGTAAATGCACTATACATTAATGCATATTTCAATGTAGCATAATAACTTTTATGTTTAATCAGTACAAAAAATCTTTCTTATAAGCTGCCATGGATTTTTTTTTCACTTCTGAACTCTCTAACAACAAGCCTATCAACTTTAAATATTTAGTTTGCTGTTTTAAGTGAGTGAAATTGGTACCGCATTGGTATATAGGGGTTTAATTTAATTAAATTAAATAGTATATTTTGCATTATTAAACATTTATTTGATTATAAGTATTTTGTTGGGACTCTCAGAAGTCACAGATATTTTTTCAGCCAAAGAAGTTAATCCTACTGAAAAACAACCTTTTCTGCCTACCTTTCTTACCTGCGCAGGGTTTTCTTTTCCTTTCAAAGTAATTACACTGTAGAAACCAATACAAAGGACCTCTGTTGAATCAGAGCACAGTAGGGCCTGAACAAAATTTTGTGAGAAGAAACTCACTCTGTTTCTTTTAAAAATTAAGTAAATATTTACACTTTTGCATGTATTAAAAATGTGCTTTGGTAGTTTCTCTTCTTTGCTTTGCTGGAAAGTTCAGTTATCTGGAATGTTTGTAGGGTAGGTTTGGAGGTTTTACATAGTGATAATCATTACTACATAATGATTATAGGTCAAACACCCAATTTTCTTTTTGGGTTTTTATTTTTTAATACAAGGAAATAAAATGCTTTGTTAAGATGAGAATAGTCTTCACATCTCAACCAATCACAAATATGTTTTATTTCAAATCACCATGACTTGTGAGATATTTGCACTATTCATTCAAATTCTGAAATCATAAATTTGTTTTTATTGACAAATGGCTTTTTTTAACCACACAAACTAACATGCTATACTATCTCAACCAACTTGTTTTACTGTAATTTAAATTATATACACACTGACATATTTTGTTTGGTGTGTTAGACCAATTTTGAAAAATTAAATTATTGTTTCAACAGCCACTGTTCTTTTTTTTTTTTTCTTCAATTCACCACAGTGCCTCAAGTTGCGAACAAGATATGAAAACAAAAGTATGAATACAAGAGAGAAAGATAATAATTTTACAATTGTCATCTACAATTTAGAATGCTTAACAATGCACTGGAGCTTGTGAATCCAATAGAGCTCACTTATGGATATGGACAACACCACCATAGCAATGAGCGTACTTTAGAGCACTAGGATCACAGCCATATGACTCCAAAATCAAATGTATGAAAAGATGAAAAGTACCCTTATCTAATTTTATGAGTATATAATCAAATTGTTTTTGCATTAAAAATGCCCTTTCAAAACTTTAGATCCTTTTGATCCCAACTTGCACACTATGGACAATTTTTTATCTACTAAATTCATCTGGCAAAATGAAGGGAAGACCATGTTTCATAAAGACAATTAATGAAGGCACAAGATGGACAATGAGGACATTGATGAAAATGGAAACAATAGGAATATGCAGACAATTTATTTGTTGTGAGTGTGCTTTTCAAAAAAATAATTTGAAACGAATTCATGAGAGATTATTGTTTAAAAATACACTTAAAATATATTCTGCTATTCCATAATTATTTTTAATGTATCTTTTTGGAATAACAACTGGTTTATTGACAAAAAAAAAGGTTTTTCATAAAAATGTAATTTCAAATCATTATTGAAGGACACTTGGTAGAATATCACTTGATAGCATGTTATGTAGGGTTTGTAAAATGACTTTCCAAATTCTAAACTCAATTGTATCCATTAACAAATCTTATTTTTCAAGTATTTTATCACACAAATGAAACAGTTAATTTCATAAACATATAGTTTCTATTTAATAATACAAACAACAATTTTCACACAAAAATATACATGAAAATTAAGTATGTAAAATTAAGAGACCTCCATCCTTCCTCCTGCTTTTATTAAATTGATATGCATATCAATGTAGTACACTCTATCACTCGTTAAATCAGTTGCAAAGAAATTGGGATACTAGTGCTCTACCTTCAGTTGGACAAAGTAAACCCGCGCATTATAGCTAATGATTCTGAAGACTTGTTGTATATATTTATAGGCCAAGATTAGCAAACTAAATTAAGGGAAATACAAACAGAAATTAATTTTGATTGAAATATTTAATTTTCTTTGTCTTCTTGAACAAAGCCATGTATGTGTATAGGGCAAACATTATAATATATCTACTTGTTTATTGTTCCTGCAATTTATTAACAGGAAACTCTTTATGCTTGGTGTCTCAAAAATAGCTGATTATTAAAAATGTACACTAAAATATTTATTTCAAGATAAAGTTTATCCCAAAAGTTAGACTAGGCTACAAGATTAACATTCTAATCTTTCAATACTTCTTTTTAAATTATTGTAAAAATCACTGTGCACACATGTGTTCACAAATACATTCACACGTTCATTCAGCATATACTGCTATATTTACACACAAAACAAGCCACAGAGTTGATTTAAAAATATTTCCAGATCTTGGAAGATACTGTCAACATTGTTCATGTAGTAATTGTGCTGGAGAAAATTACTACCAGTTTCTAATGAAAGAAAATCAGAATCTTCAAGAACGTTCCTTGAAGTGTAAGTAACTGGACGGGATCCTGTCGATTTTGAGAATACACCATGGCCTCATGAACAATTCACACTCTTCTATTTATGCCATAAGGCATGTGACTGATTCTCATTTTGTCCATATTTTTGTGTTGAAAATATTTCTTGAAGAAAGTTTATCTTTGAAAATATTGTAACATTCTTCTGTCTTTCCAAGCCTGTATCTGAAACTGAATTTGATAAATATTAAACAAAATATATTTCCATTACTTAATCACAACAAATGTAATTATATTTCTATCATTTATTGCAATGTAACAAAACAAATCTGCTTTATTAATTAACATACATTTTTTAAATTACAATGAAATTGATGGATTACTAAAAGTAGCTATACAATGAATAGAATACAAAAAAATATTAAAATAATACTCCACATTAATGGAAGATTCTAAATTACTAGTTTACTGAGATATTCTAAATTAATAGTTTTACACAAATATCAATTCAAATTTTATAGCAACAATTTCGTATGTTCATTAATGTAAAAAAAATTATACTATTTTTTATTATTGTAAATTTTCTGAAAGTTGAAACCATTTTGAATGCCATCCTGAAATGGAGGTTACTTGGCCAGTTGGTCTGACAAAAATGTATAATTTTTTAACTAATGCTACTCTTTTTATTACAAAAGGTCTACAAAATAAATCCTTCATGCACATCTTTATGCACAAATGTCATGTGTATATCTGTCTCTGCAAGAACAGTTTACATATAGGTGGGGCACACAAGAAGAGGCAAGAGCCAAAATCTATAACTGATTTGCCAATGCAAATATTTTCTATTATATAAGAGAAACTATTTCTTGTTATTAAATTTTATCAAAAATTTGTTGGTACCTTTGTTCATAAATCAATTTACAAGAAGTAAAGTAAACGAACAGAGGATTCCAGAGCTCTAGAAAATGTGTATAGAGTATTTCTGTCCTGTATGTTACCTACATTCAATCTTTGAAATTATTGTAATGCAAATTAAATTAAAAAAATAACAAATACTAGCAAAATACTTAGAGTTCCCTGAGATTTCTTCATATCCAATCCTTGTGAAAGTGGAAAACGAACAATTTTGTATAAACCATGGTGTTTAATTGGTTCAAAATTTAATAAAATACTATAATTTTCTGTCATTTTATTTTTCATTGCTATTAGATTGAAATATTTTATCTTGTGTACTGCTACTGGCCTGTATAGTAATTATGTCTGTAAAATGTACGTGTACAGAGGAAATTTACAATGAAAACAAAAATTTGATTTATCTACTTCATTGTCATTTGCCTCCTGTTTGAAATGGTAGTGTGAACCTCTCAAGCACACAATTTAAAACATTTCCTTCTCTTTATTCATAGTTAGATACCCATATTGTAATCTGATATAAATTAATTCAATTTATTTTTCTCAGTTGTACATAGTATGAGGGAAAAGTGTAATATTCAGTAAGAATATTTTTCAGTAAGTTTTTGGTGGTACAATTGGTTTTGAAGGGCCTTGTAGGGCCTCAAGGAAGAGTAAGAACTTAAAAAATGAAGTATAGGTCCTATATGATAGGCTACATTTAATACTAAAAAAAAAAGATGGTTAAATTTATTCCTGTATATCTCACCTGCCATGACATTTGAATATATTCAACCAAACTAACTTTAATAGGAACCAGTTGCAGAAATTGGTGCTCCTTCATTTTAAAAATCAATATCCCAATTAGAAAATTCATCAGGAGGTATGTCATTATCTCTTGGATAAGAATCGAAGTTTGATGTGTCAGTTGGCCCACGAATCTAAAACACAAGTTACGCATTCAAGACATGTTAAAAATAAAATAAATTGGAATCAAATTACAATAATGTGAAAATAGGTTCTTTAGTATATTAGCATGAAACTCAAAAACTGTTTGAAATTTGTTAACTTATTTCATTTTTGATGTGCTGATTCTGCAAAATGTTTTTTCTCCATCATTTTTTGGCAATTCTATGAGTCACAATTAACAAGTACAGTGACTTATTGACAATAATGCTCTAATAGGAGACTAAATAAATTTTCTTTGTATGTGAATATGCAAAAAGGCAACTCCACAATACAAGTGCATATATTAAGACAGCACCTTTCACTTTTTTGATTGAAAAACATGATAAAGATAAAGATAGAGCTCTTTATAAAGGATGAAGTTGTAAATATGTTTGTTTCTGGTTTAAGGAGTTCCTTCTTTCAGGAATCAAGGTGATATGGTGTAAGCAGAGAAATCATAGGAATGGTTGCTACTACTGTTCAATTGATGTGAAAATATAACAAATTATGAGAAATAATCTACCCTTACCACGTGCCAAACTAGCCTTTTTCACATACCTGTGATATTTTAGTATCAAACCCACCCTATAATTTAGGTAATGCTGTACTTGAACTAGAAAACTGACTTCTTCTTTATTTCATTCATTGGTTCCAAAAATTGTAACACTGATGATTAGTCAATTTTGTTGTAATTAATATTATGTGAATAAATAAGAAAACAAATCTTCTTGATTTTCTGCTTATTAACACAAAGAGTAATTAATAAATCCTTCAAAAACTTCAGGAATTTTTGCAGGATTTGATTTTCAGAAAGCTGTTGTAATAATATTACTTTTAAAATATTGAGAATAAGAAAATATTTAGAACGTACATACTTTGTACAATCAAATGTTATTCATATTGTTTAATATATTAAAATATTGTTGTGGCACGTGATTTTATACTATTTTGGATATGTGACACACTTGCACACACAAGTATACACACACACACACACACACACATTCCTAATGGCACCCTCCCCACATATGCACCCACCCACCTCCACTCACTCACAGTGCATCCAATCACTCCACAGGCACCACCCCACCCACCATCCCCACTCACACACATGTAAACCCCCACCCACCATAACAAGAAACATGCACCCCCACCCCACTCACATACACACCCTCACTCACCACACTCAAATACACCCTCCCATACCACCACTCTACACACAAACACCTCCTTCTACACACAATCCATATTTCATTCCGTTTTCTCAACAACATCTCTAAAACATATTCCTGAAAATTGTCTACTGATTATCTCTTTATCAACAAAACTTACTTTAGTATTTTCAAGTAGCAACACTTGCAATGCATGCTGATTTATTTTTACTGTGTTTATTAGTTGTTATACGTAACTGTTATTTATATTATGTACAATATATGTTTTTTTTTTCATACCTTCTGAAGTAGGACTATAAGCAGTTCGTTGTTGAGAACCATCCCAATCAAAGCCTTGAACCATCTGTGAAATTATAAAAAAATCATAAATATAAACATTTATAGTAACATAACTATATACTAAGCAAATATATGTAGTAGTATCTAAAAAATTTATATGATATTTAAAAGTTATATTCTCATTGTTACTGAAAAGTAGTATAAAGACAGTAATGCCAACAATGTAGAACTACCGCTTGTGCTTTTTAATGTCTGATATGCCCCTTTCTGTAGCCCAGTCTGCTGGATGCGCATCTCTGCATAAGCTTTTGATAAGACTTACTGCTGTCGACTATATGTCGAGGAAAATCAACCATCTCAATCCTTAGAATATGTTAGTCTTCATTGGTCTGATGCAGTAAGACGCCTAATAATGAATTAATTGAACTGAAATTTAATCTCTATAATTTTACACTATAAGTTTGCTCAAAAAAAAAAAACACTCAAATCCATCATTTATTAGATTCATTTTGTTTGTGAAATGTATGGCGTCCTCCAGAACAAAAGAGATAAAGAAGGAAAGAAGAAGATTAACAATGAGAGAAACACAAGAACAAGAAAATGATGAAAAAACACACACACACACACACACACACTCACTCACATATGCACCCATGGGGACCCATCCACACATATACGCACCCCCGTCCACGAAACTCAACTCACACTCACCCACCTGGCTCCATTCACTTAAACAAACATCTCACACTACACCTCACCACTCACACTCACACACAGTAAAGAAAGAACTTCAAAAAGAATAAATAATTTATTCCTTTAAATAAACTATAAGTAATGCTAAAAAATTCTTGTTTACTATGAATGAGTAACTATTCACAAATCTTATCTTATTTTCATGAATAATTTTGTTCACACATTATTTTAATTTTCACACATTATCTTATGGCAGACATATTGAAAACATCACCGTGCCGTAAGAGTATTCATCAAAACCCCCTAATGACCAATCTAATCTACAGCCCGATCATGACCTTTATTAGAATGTGACTTCTGAGCAACATATTCGCGTCGTTCCACAAAAGTCCAAGTTTTAAACTATAACCTAATCCTTGAAAATCCAAAAATCAAACCTGAAACAATCAACAAAAATTAAAATATGAAGACAATTAAAACTGACAACATGTCTAAAAATATGTTTTTTTTCAATAACATGAGTAAAATAGAAAGACCTCACTATTTAACTTCCTGAGAGTCCAGAAGCAAATTATTCTGTTTGAGCTGTAGCATGATCTCTTGCATGACAGGTATCAAAGCCTCCACTACACATGATGTGATAAATCTATTAGATATGGTTCAAAAAATATCCCCTGTCTCTCAAATCTTCCAAACTTCACCCTCCCAGCTATCTCCAGAAAGCAATATATCACATACTTAGATTCGAAAGGCGATATAGTCTAAAAATGACAATTAATTAGTCAGGTAACATATATGTTTCGTTTAGAGATCATGCACAATATTTAAATGGATAGTAAACCTCTTTTATGTTAAAATTCCTCCAGTATACATTAGGAATGAGAATAAATGAATTAATGAATTTCTCCCCATGCAATTCTAGTTCCTCTTTTCACTCCGTGAAATTCCGACTCGTTGTTTCCATCTACATTCTCCATACACTTTATACCTGAGTTTGCTCTTTTAACTGTGGACAAGTCCTCTACACTTACTATTTATTCACATGCTAATATACAGGTTGATCAAGTCCTTTGCTAATACTGGAGCCGCATCCCATATTAATGTACCAGTCAAATTGCCAATTATATTATTCTTCATCCATTTATTTGTAATAATTGGTTAAAATTTGGACTAGGCACTTGATGATTGTAACAAAGGCCTACGGTCGTGAGTGCAGTCCAGCCATCATTTTGAGGGACATGTCCGATTTTTGCTACAAATAAACATGATTATTACTATTGGTTGTTTACATACTGTAATATATTCTAACAATCATGTAGTGCTAAATATTCATAATTCGAAACATAAATATTTGAATCAATTTTGCAAATAAAGGAGTGAACGAAAACGAGTTAGGGGAGGCATGGCCCCGGTACCCTCAGAGTCACCTAGCGGATCTAAATTAAACAAAAGCGACTTCATTTCATGAAAGCAGCCAATTGCCAGTACAGACTTTACGTCGTCAGATTATCGAGCATTTCTGCCTGAATGAAATAATAAAAAAGAAAAAGAAAAGAAAAAGAAGAAAAACAAAAAACCCTCCGAATCAACGAAGACCGATCGTGATGCCGCTTGGGCGCATTGAATCTGCGCCAAAAAATATGGACCACACGGCAGATGTGTGCGCGTCCAGAGCCGTTGCGCAGCTGTCGTCTCATTTCCCCAAGAGGAGCCATTTTGAAGTCCCTTGTACAGCCTGTCACACGAGTGAAAATCGAAATTTTGACTGTATACACAAATAATAAATTATCCTAATATACACTTGAATAATAGTTTTTCTCTCTCTTTTCAATTAATTAATAACAGTATAGATAGCATAGGAACGTTATTAAGTAATATTGACTACCTTTATGCAAAAAAAAACCAACAATGCTAAAATTTTATTTCAAAAAGTGTATTGGTATCTATTTTCTTTGCACACATAAATAACTAGTCTTCTCTATGCAGGATCTCTAGACAACAAGACTGAATCCACTCTGATGTTTACTTGGAATATGCAGAGCTTATTCTCATCAAATCTCAAGATTGATCTTTTCCTGCAGCTTCCACGCGTATTCATTCTTAACTCACATGCTCTCTTACACTATTGATCAAAAGTATCGGACACGTTACAAAATATGTTATGGTTAGTTTGTGTATTTCATGAGAGGATTAGATCCCGTTGTTGTTTTGTGTTGGCACATCACGGCACAAGCCAACGTTGATGTATTTAAATACTTTGCTTTTCAATGTTTAGAGCAAATTCGGGATGGATGTACATCTTCACACGAGCACCTGTTCATATTCCAAGCCTTTGGTGAGTAGTTACAACGACAATAATCCGTAAGGACTGCCTGCATAGAATCATGATTGAATCCTATCGAACACCTTAGGAGTTTGGAAACGCCACTTCGTGACATGCCCCACCGACCCTACATCGATACCTCTTTCAGTCAGCACTCCGAGTAGAATGGCTCCTACCAAAAAACACCTTCCAGCCACCTGATTGAAAGTATGCCAGCGAACAGTAGCGGCTTTCATTTAAGGCTACTGAGGAGCAACAAAACCCTATTAATTCCAACATACAAATGGACGCCCCACGAACTTAATCATTATACAGCCCATAGCCGGATTTCTATTTGATAACATTAGTGTATTGTTTTTGCTCTCATAACTTACACGTCGTCTACCCAGCTGCCATCAAATGAGCGCGATCGCTGCAATGGCTCTACCTCGCTTATCCATCTGAGAAGGGTAATTGGGGAGCGAACGCTGGTGGGACAATGAAAGCATGATATTACTGAGTACGTATCGCCTTCTGACAAAAGAAC